TATATATATATTATTTATTAATTTAGATATTAGATTATTTAAATTATGATTAAATGCAAGAGCGAATGTTTGCGAAAATGGGAGATGAGACGAGAATGCAAAGAAAGCGTTGTAGCTTCTTTCGGCCGTTTTTGTTTTTTGTTCGTTTGTTTTTTTTGGATATATATATATATACATAAACGATAATAATATTACAAAAAGAAAAAACAATATTGTTATTACGTAGCTTAGCAACATTATTATTGTAATAACGAGTGTACATCGGTTGGGCCTTGGATTCGCCGTTGTTGCTATGTTTTATATTCCGATCGAGATACGAATCCAGGGCCGAGCTGATCTCCAAGAACCTTTAGCGTGTAAACAAGTGAAAAAAAAAACAAAAGAACAAATTAATAAATATATATATATATAGTAATTACAAACAAAAGAGAAAATAGATATGTATATATTTATTTATTTGTTAACCAGATGAATACATTATTGTTATTTATGATGATGATACTACATGAAGAGCAATATTTATAAGTCAATTTATCGTCGGAAAGTCGAGTTTTTAAGGATTAATCTCGATTTCATCCCTGAAGTATGTATAAATATATGTACTTGATAATACACGAAAAGCTGACACAAAGATGCTCTAAACAATACGGTTGTGCATATATATTTAAAATTAAAATGAAAAATGAAGAATAATTAGGATTATATTATATAAACAAAAGTGAATACTTGTAAGAGAATAAATATAAAATGATAAAAAGAAACGAGAAGTATTAGAAGGAAATCTGTAATTTTCCGTAAGTTCATTAACAAACCGAAGCACGTGGAAATCGATCTTGCCGAATCTAAGAAGATAAATCAATGTTGTTATTGTTATATCCTCATGTTGTTGTTGTTATTAGTATCACGTGACCAACGAATAAACAAAAAAAAACCAAGAAGATTTCGACGTGCACACCACACCACGCCCACACCACGACGAAAGCCGAACGCAAAGTCGGCTCCGCCCATTCGTTGTATTTGTTCGTTTATCTTTTCAACTCCGCCCATTTTTGCATCATCTTCACCATAGCAACCGAAACTAGTAGCATTTTTGTGTTCAGATATGATAATACAAACATCTTTTGTTTTTTATTTTGTTTTATGTTTTGTTATTATTATTATTATATATATATTTATCAATCGGCGATTACGAGGGAATACAAATGCAAAAATATTATTAATTATAATAATAATAATGTAATTTGCTAAAACAAAAGTAAAATAATATAAATAAATAAAACTGTCTCAGTACACGTAAAGTTAAGCGAATAATAATAATAATGTATATTTAAGCGAAAAGAAAAAGTGAGAAATTATAAATATATTGTTTAAGATTAATATATTATATATATATATAAATGAAAATATTATATACATAAGAGAACAAAAAAATAATAATAATATATTATGTAATAATGTACAAATGACGTCCCTTTCTTTGTTTCCTTCCTTCCTCGGGAAGAAGGGGTGAAGAGGGATGACAAAAAAAAAATATGTAAAAAAAGAAGATAAAACAAGTGCGAGTCGATGAAAATTTAAACTAAATATTACGAAAAAAAACAACTCTCCTCAAAGTCTTTTATTGCATTTATATTATTGAATCCTTGCCCAATATCTTTATTGAGATTTTAGTAATTTCGAAGAATGAATGGCAGAAATTAGTTTATCCACCCTGTATATAGTTGCGTGTTGGTGGTAAATGGTTGCGTTATGTTGGTGGTACTGTTATATAACGTTCGCTCGCTGGTAGCGGCGTGAAGTTAGGTTAGATTCGTCTCGCCACACTTTCCCCTGTTACATTCAGTGCGATTCGGTGGCTTGGGTTGTTTTTTTTTCCTCTCTTTTTTCGGCTAAGAGAAAAGTGTTTTTGGGGGAGAAGAGAGAGATCATCATCATCTGAGTGGTAACAAAGTTTTCTATCTTCGCCCCCACCGCCCCCCTGTTTAAAACTCTGGATTCGAAGTGATCGTGTGCTGTTCGTGGGTTTTAATTATTAACAAAAAAAAAGTTAGTTTCACCTTTTACTCGCATATATATATATATATATGTGTGTGTGTGTGTATATGTGTATATATATATATAGTTTACCACTATTCCAGTTTTTCTTTCTTTTCATTCTCTGCTCTATTTCAATCTCGAATAGTTATTATACATATATACATAAATATTCAATGATGTTGGTATGTTAGTGGTGTGCGTAGTTGGGTTCTTAAAGTTTATGTTCTCTCGAAATATATATATATAAATAGGAACAAAAAAATATTAATAATAGTAATTGAATTGTTTGAGGTGTTTGTATGTGCGGATGATGATGATGATTAATTCCTCTTGTGTGTGCATTAAAGAGTTGAAGATGGAGGAGGAGATGTGCACAAGTGCTGTGCGTAGTTTACAACTGATGAGACCCAACATCTTCCCGTTGTCATACCATATTCTAATGCTGTTGCTGTTTTACATTGTGTAGAGATAATGACAATTGACTAACTGTGTGTGTTCTTTTCTTTTTCATAATGTGATCGTAGGTGAGGTGAGACCTGTTGTGTCTATGCAGTGCGCATGATCAGCCCTGGGAAGGATCGCATCACAGTCCGGATACACAATATGAAGAGGAGCACCGACAGAGAGACTCCACCGACGAGGAGGAAGAGGGCCCACTCGAGCATGGGACGTTACGATGACAGTTCAGATGAGAGGATCACACCGGACAGGGTGAGACACAGGAGCAGCAGAGTGAGGACGCCGAGTCCGAGGGGGGGTGCCGCTGCTGCGAGGTACATGTCACCTCATCACGACGAGTACATGCGACCACCGGAGAGGAGCTATCCGTACAAAGTGCTGTGCGTGAGTGCGCTGCATCCGAAGGCGAGCGACGAGATCATCAAGGATACGCTTTACAGGGAGTACAAGAAGTTCGGTGATCTGAGTATAAGGATAACGCACGACATCGACGAGCGACTGGCGTACGTGTGCTTCAGGAATCCGGAGGACGCGCGCGACGCCAAGTACGGAAAGCCGAGAATCATCGTTTACGATAAGGTGGCTATGGTCGAGCCCATCTACGAAGTGCCGAAGACGTCCAGCGAGATGTACAGCAGGGGTAGACCGAGATCGATCAGTCCGGGGTACGATAGCAGGCATTATTACGCCAGATCGCCGGAGAGGCTGAGCGTGAGGGCCGTGGACCGTTACGAGAGAGGATACGGACACCCGGCGCCTGGGATTCCCATACACCGGGAGTACAGGAGGGAGGCGATGCCAGCCCCACATCACGAGTACATGGTTAGGCCACCCATCCATCACGGCCCACCGCACATGGGTGGCGGAGGTGGTGGTGGAGGCAGCGGAAGCGGCGCCGGTTACGGGTACGGTCCACCGAGACATTCGGCTCCGAGAGGAGGTGGTGGCGGTGGCGTACCGTACGAAAAAGTGGAGAACAAGAAAGATAAATTTCCCAATTACCTGCACCACATCCAACCCGAAGACGACCCACTGGCCACGAGGACTTTGTTCGCCGGTAATCTGGAAATAAATATAACCGAGGAGGAGCTTCGACGGATCTTCGGCCGTTTCGGCGTCGTCGAGGACGTAGACATAAAACGTCCTCCACCTGGTACGGGAAATGCTTTTGCATTCGTCAGGTATCACACTTTGGATATGGCTCACCGTGCCAAAGTGGAGTTGTCTGGCCAATACATAGGCAAATTCCAATGTAAGATCGGTTATGGTAAGGCGACGCCGACGACGAGGATCTGGGTCGGAGGGCTGGGAACGTGGACTTCGATCACGCAGCTGGAAAGGGAATTCGACAGATTTGGAGCGATCAAGAAGATAGATTACTCGAAAGGCGACATACAGGCGTACATCCTGTACGATAGTATCGACGCTGCACAGGCGGCTGTCAAGGAGATGAGAGGTTTTCCGTTGGGCGGTTCCGATCATCGACTGCGAACGGACTTTTCCGATGTCACTCCGTTCAAGCCGAAGGCGTATCCAGCGAACGAGGATGGCTCGAGCGGCGATTACAGGAGACCGCCAGACGAATTCGAGCCAGGATTCGAAGGTGAAGGTGGTACCTCTTCGAATTACGGAGGTGGAGGAAGCAGCAGTCGATACAAGAGCGGAGGAAGAGCGCCGTACCAGGACAGGCGGGGCAGTTACAAGTATCCGCCCAACGACGGCGAAGAGTGGAGCGGCGGCGGCGGTGGCGGCCGAACGAGGAACGATTACGATCGACGCAGATCCGGATCGAGGACAAGGGGTGGCGGCGGCGGCGGTGGTGTAGGAGCCGCAGCGGTAGACAACAACAGATCCAGGTCACGTTCCCCGCGTCGATCAATCGATTCTGACTCTGATAACGGTACAAAACGGGCCGGACTTTTGGCGTCCAGTCGCACCCTCCCCGAAGTGGCGAGGAAATGCTCGACGACGTGGCAGGGCGCACTCATCTTGAAGAACTCGCTGTTCCCGGCAAAGTTCCATCTGATCGACGGCGACTCGGACATCGTCGACGGTCTGATGAAGGACGAGGACGGAAAGCATCAGCTCCGGATCACGCAGCGTCTGCGTTTGGACCAGCCGAAGCTGGAGGACGTGCAGAAGCGCATCTCGAGTGCCAGTTCTCATGCCATCTTCTTGGGAATGGCCGGATCCACGACATCTGTGAACAACGACGACGTGAACGTGCAGACGCGGCCACTGCGTAACCTCGTGTCGTACCTGAAGCAAAAGGAGGCGGCCGGTGTTATCTCGTTGCTGAACAAAGAGACGGAAGCGACGGGCGTCCTCTACTCCTTCCCACCATGTCCCTTTTCCACGGAACTCCTCAAACGCACCTGCCTCAACCTCCCAGAAGACGCCCTCAAGGAAGATCACCTCGTCATAGTCGTGGTACGTGGCGGCACAGCCTAATTCTATTCATTCTTCATCCTTCCTACACACAAACACATATACTTATTCACTCACACACACACACACATGTTATCCCTGATTATAAAATTCCAACAGTAACATCGGAGGAGAGCAAAAAAAACCCTTTCTTTGAAAATAAAAACCAACAATAAACAGATCCACTTAAAACCAATCCATATATAGATTTTTCTCGTTTCAGGAGATTAATGATCAACAATGGTAGTAATGATAGTAATAGTAGATAGTATAGTCAATATAAATACTATATAAATATTTATAGTATAAGTTTACTTTGTATCCTGTAAATAATAACGAAAACCAATCATGCTTTATACTTTTACTTTATATATATATTTGTAATCTATATATACAACATCTTCTCTCGTTGATCAACATTGTGTGATCAAATCATATTTTTCCCCCCAGTTACAATCATAAGAGCTCATGTTGATCGACGACGATGAGAATTATTATTATTCGTAGTTATTTGTGAATTACGAAATTTTATGTTGTTGTTTTCCTATTGTTTTGTCTCTTTGAATCAATTCTGTGCTCTCGATTCATGTAAAACTAAAGAATTAGCTTATTTTCTATTTACTTAATGTTTTTTTGTTTCTTTTTTTTTGTATCTTTAGCCCACTGTTTATATTATATACATATATATATTTACAAATGACTAATATTAAGTTAGGAGTTATTCCCATATTTCGCTAGAGATTATATATTTTATATAAACATATGTGTAAATGCTTGAACGTGAATGTCGAATGAGTGGAACGATTTATAGTTAAGTGTACGAATGTAGAGTGGAATTTCCGGTGGGGAGGACTTCTTTCTGTACAACAAGCGATGTTCGAATGGATATGGGAGATAATAATAATAATATTATCGAAATTAAATTGATTACAAATAAATGACGTTAATTATAATTAAACATCTTAATTAAAACCAAACAACAACAATCCATCATATGTAAGGCT